TATATAGATTAAAAGCTTTAGATAATTATTATTCTAGCGTTAAATTACTATCCATTGCGTTTCAAATATTTTTTGAGAGACATCTACCAATGTTTTTTAAGAACAGAATAATATATTTTATTTTACCTTCTACGTCCAATTTTCAACAAAATACAAATTTTCACATGAGACTTCCTTAAAAAAAAATTAAAACCTTAAATAAATTAATACCGTATTGGCATTTGTTATAGTTCTGTATTACCCATGTATGCCTTTATTAACATAATTAAAATTTAGAAACAAATTATGAATTATTATTTATTAAAAATATAACTCCCCCACTTAATAAAAATTCATTTACTAAAGTTCAATTACGATTAACTTTTATTACAATCATCAAAGCAATAATATTATTTTTAATAACAGTGATATGCAATTACTTTGAGCTTGGATATTAATTCCATAATTCATTACTCGAAATTACTTTGCGCATCGATACACGGACTCCATGTAATTTGTTTAGTATAATTATCCCGCGGTCTATTGGCGATAATACATTCTGAATTATTAATGGAGTTTGATTCATGTCCGGGAGTATGGAGTGTATATGGAGTATGGAGTTTTCCCAGCACATTACAATAATATATTTACATAGGAACAGGGCCGGCCGCGTCCCGTGGGGCCTGCCGGAAAATGGGGTCACTTTGGATGGAGTCACATTTTTTGCGATAGATTATTTTACGCTACATTATTCAACCAATGCAAAATATAAATTTTATAGGTACATTTTTTACAAAAATAACACTGTATACAACCTAATCTGGTATTTTGTCCGAAGTATTTGTCGCCAGAGTTGGAAATAGTATTAATTTAATTTAGCTCTTGTAAAACGCTTTTCTCAAGTTGAATAAACTATTTTATTTATTATTTTTATTGGTCACACCTTTGCCAAGATGAAGTTTTGTTGGTCTCTCTTACCTTAGACCTGGTATTTTATCATCACTACTCATTAGCAGAGTTGGAAAAATTATTCATTCGTTTTCGCACCTTTGAAAAGTTAAAAATTCAGTTGGTCTTTTTTACCCATCCACAAGCGAGCTATTTTAAAACACCTGCTGATTCTAACTAAACTTAATCTTATAAGACAATTAAACTGGTGATGCATCGCATCGTGGCTTCAGGCAAAATTTCTGGAACTTCCCTATACCAAAATTAATTTTTTTGAAGAACCCTTGACTTTTCTGAACACTGAAAAAAATTGATATTTGAGAATTTTGGAATTTGGACTTCCTAAAATATATATAATTTATGATGCATATATCTCAGATCATTTTCGTCATCTAATAATTATTTTTACTTCAATGGGATCTCCGAAACTGCCAGATCTGTCTTTTCAAAACATAATGCCAGTTGTTTATTTCGTGTACAAGATAAAAGTTTTGAATCATTCGAATCGGACGCTTTGCTATCTCAAAAACTAAATTTCTATTTTGGCACTTTGAAACGGCTGGACCTGCCTTTTCCAAAAAACGGAAAGTCTCCTCGTCAATACAAATCGAATGTTTTAAATTATTCAAACGATTGATCTGTGTTTACAAAATGGTCGACAAAAATTTGTATCGTGCACACACACACACATATACATCATTCTTTCTGAAGTATGCTACAATGTTCAGAAACTTTTAAACGTAAGATATGCAAAATTTATCATTTCGATTACTATATCTTATCTATTACACAGGTCAACAAAGAAAATGGTGCAAACGATTTTAATGCTATTTTCAAGTATATTTGGGGCGCTGATTTCAAAAATGACATTTGTTTTTTTCTATGAGCTTTAGTTTTCAAGATACGATATATATGATTATTTTACGATATTAGGTGCGCAACTAAGTTCTCGCTTTTTTTCGATGAAAATGTAACTTTATTATAAAAAAAATGCATCAATTGAGTTCGATACAGTTCTCCAGTGATGGTTTCACTCGGTTTCAACAGCTCATAATAAATAACACCGACCTGGTCCCACCATATATAGAGCAAACCTTCGCAGTGAATATTCGGCCAAACCGAGATTTTCTCGTCTTTGGATTGCTGTAATGTATTCATTTTTTATCACCTGTCACGATGTGATGAAGAACCTCTTCTTTTTCGCCGCTGGAGCAGTTGTTTACAGGCGAATAAACGACGCTCGACGTCTCTTGGCTTCAACTCACAAGAAACCGAAGTTTCTTGCTTCTAAATCATCCCCGACGCATGCTATAGCTTGGAAATGGTTGATGGGTAAATCCTAATTCTAAAGCAAGATCTTCTGGAGTTTGGCACGAATCCTCTTCGAACAAGGCCTTCAATTTAGCGTTTTTGAAGGTTTTGGCCTTCTTCACGAGGGTGGTCGTCAACATCAAAATCATCATTTTTGAAGCGACAATAACCTTCACGGCATGTTATTCGCTCAGAGCAACATTTCCGTAGGTCTCGATGCACTTGAGTTCCCGTTTTTTTTTGAATGGAAGAAGAAAATCAACACTCCTCGCAAATAACGATTGTTGGCATAAAATTGGACATATTCACTTAACCAGAAGTATAATGCAAAAACGAAATCAATTATGTGTCGCAGCAGTGTTGTTTACTTACTCTAAGCTTGCTTCAAGACGTTTTGGATTTGTCAAAATCGACCAACCCTTATGATAGAGCCATATACTGACAAACAGCGAGAACTTAGTTGCGCACCTAATATAAGGAACGAAAGTACAAAGAGTAATAACAATTCGAATGTTATTTTAATGAGATATGACTACTCGTACATACAAACTTACAAGACCCATTCGGCTTTAGTTGGAACATTAGTTGACACTGTGAAAGTTCTTTTCCGTGACGACCTCGAATGACCTGGTTTCGGCAACTTCTTTGTATCTCAAAAACTAGAGCTGATACAAAAAAATGGTTTGCAGATTTGAAATTAGCGCAAAAAATACTGTAAGAATCAGCTCTAACATTTGAGGCACCAAAAAAAAAACTTTTTTTTGTTGGCCTGTGTTATTTAAGTTCCAAATACGATGATCCTGGATAAAAAATAATTAATTTAAATAAAATAGTTTATAAAAATATATAACTATTAAAATATATCCATGTGTGGAAATAATTTCTAATGTAATGGAGTAAAATCAAACCAGAAACAGTCACGATTGTTACTTAAAAAGAAATCATTAGGCTTTTATAAATCATATAGAAATTCAATTATTAACCAAAATCATGGTGATGTACCAGGGAAACAGTCGCATATCTAACAATTTAGTGGCTTTTATTATAAATTATATGGAAACTCACAACTATTAACCAAAATCATGATGATGTACCAGGGGAACAGTCGCATATCTAACGATTTAGTACCTACAGTGTTAAAAAAAGTTCTGTTTTCAAATTACTAGAAATGATTTGTTCATTCTTATTGGTTGCACTAATCAGAGCATTATAAATTCAAGTCATTTATTAATTATCTTCTATCTTCTATATATATAAAAATAAGTCGGGTTTTCCTTCCTGACGAAATAACTCCAGAACGCACAAACCGATATCGACAATTTTGCATTCGTTGGAAAGGTCTCGGTATAAGTAAGGTTTATAGCTAAGAAATTGCTGGAACTTCACGCACCGTAATTAAAAATTCGAGTAATGACATTAGTAAGAATTATCAGAATTATGCTTGGTTAAGTCAACGAGCAATTCTTGCCGCAAAGAATAATGATGTACACGCACTGAATTTCACCATTCAATCAAAAATTGCTGGCGATTTGGTGACATACCAATGATTCCGACTGGTCTTCCGTTTGACTTCAAACGATTGCAATTTCCAGTTTGCCTTGCGTTCGCAATAACAAGTCGCAAAGCCAATCGCTTATTGTTTGCGTGTATTTCAAATAGATTATTTAGAAAATCATTGTTTTTCACATATAGGCAGTTATACGTTGCCTGTTCACGAGTTGGAAAACCATCCGCTTTGTTTGTGTTAACGTCAGACCAAAAAACAAAAAATGTGGTTTACCAAAGAGCACTTCAATGAAACGGATAATTTGCGGATTCACTTTCATTTACTTAGAGAAGTTCAACTAAAAAACACTTCATTTTTGTAATCAAAATAAATTCGTTACTGTTGTATAATAAAATCCTTTTTCCTTTTAAAAATATAAAACAAACAAAAAATTTCTTCATCCTTCTCGCGAAACCATCTTGTAGCGAAACGGAGTTCGTCGGGTTTGCTAGTTATTACAATATAACTCATTTGTACCATAAAACTTAAATAATTAAATTAAATTTTCTACTTACGCCTCCACAATATCTGGTAACAGTTTTATCAGTTCCTGACAAAGGATCCTTTTCTACAATTTCCAAGAAGTCGTTGGCACAAGTACTCGAGGAACCCATGTCGAAAACTAAAAGGAAAATTATCATTATTATTATAATTATATATATATATATATATATATATATATATATATGTAAATATTTATATATAATTATTACTTGAGAATTTAAGTAGTACAACCAGTCCATTGGGTACTGACACGTCCCATGTGCAAGTACCAGCCTTTCGATAAATCTGTGGATACAAAGGGCTCGAGAAGAGACCAGCATAGTTGAATAAGGTTCCTCCACAACCTCTTCCTAACAGAAAATGACAATAATAAATAAAATTAAATAAATTAATAATAATCCTCAACTAAATTTCTTACCTTGATCAGTACTCGTATAGATGATATCAAAATTATAGCTGCCATAGTCCATTTTAGTATGAGACTTCAAAATCAGTTGCGTCGAATTGGAGAAAATAGGATCAGGGGTTTCGTATCCGCAGAGTTTTGCAACTTTTGAGGAAGTCGAGACTTCACCATCGTAAATCTAAGAAATTATAATGAATATTTATTTTGGTGAAGGGTGATTGGAAACAAGTAGAAAAAAAGTTGAAATAATATCTATTATTTATTATTATTAAATAAAAATAAATAAATAAAAGTAGTATTAGTTACCTCCAAATAGGTGTCTTCACAACTTTCGTCCATGCTGTACATAAATAGAGCATTAAAGTACAGAGATAAGGTGTTATTTTCAGGAGCCGAGACTACAATAGTGCAATCGTCTTTGACATTGTCGTACATTATACGTCCTTGGGTGTGGGAGAAGTTTCTGGTGCAAGCTAAAAAAAAAGAAATAAAATATACCAGGTTTATTGAAAAAAAGTCTATTAAAACAGAGTACAATCGTGGTTAAGTAACCAAACTAAATATTGAGGATGGAGCTTGGAATTCCACAAGGATCAATATTTGGTCCACTCACTTGCTATTGAGTATTCCAATTTAAAACCAGTCTTCTCGATGGAACTGTCTGATTTGAAGCTGATGACCATTTCGTTTTCTCCAGAATAATAATCAAAAGGCTTCGAAGAGCCACATAAGAAATGGCGAGTTATTGGCATGCCTCCAAACTAAAAAAAAAATTGAATAAAACCAACATTATGCATCTGTCGTTGTATGCGTTCCGATATCAACAAGGAAATCGGCATAGATAAATAAACATTTTAAAGTTACATCATAGTACAAATCTTGATTTAATGAAAAATACCTGAATCAGAAGAATTTGTTACCCTGTTCCTTGAAAATAATAAAACAAATTAAATATTTATGCCGTGTAATAAACGTAAGTTTATTGATTAGAAATTATTTCTATATTAGGTTGTCAAATATCTCCCTTCCGCCTTTTTGTATTATAAACCAAGAGCAAAAAAGCGGAAGCGAGATATTTGACAACCTAATATTATTCGTAAATAAAAAGGGACTCTACTGACAACCAAACTAAAAATGAAAAAAGGAGGAGAAAAAAGGACGAGCAAAATAAAAATAAAATTCAAAGAGACTCTACTGATGATTAATTTAAAATTAAAGATAAAAGGGACTATACCGATGAGCATACTGAAAGGGACTATACTGACGAGCATACTAAGAACAAAATTAAAAAGGGACTCTACTGACTCTACTAAAAAAAAGAAGGTGGTAAAAAATAAAAATAAATCAGTACTTACCGCGTATGGTCTATTATCTTTCGGAGCCTTTCCAAAAACAAAATCATTCCCCAAGCCTTCTGATATAAACTGAGAATGCTGCAAGAGAGAACAAAACAATTAACCAAAATTAAAAACTAGTGGTGTATGGCATCGTGCCTTGAGGCAAATTGCTGGAACTTTCGTACCGTAATGAAATATTCGAGAAATTTTAAACGTTTTCAAATATATTATTGCAAATACTGTAACTTTCATTATCTTTGCTATCTTGTTATATCTGAGCAAATCAAATGTAAATCATAAATCAATTTATCATCTCCAGAACATTAACAATCGTCATTTAATTTCGAATTCAATTTCAAAAAAAAATAGTTGCCTAATTTACACAAAATTGAAAAAAAGCTCCCGTACAGTCACAGTCTAAACGCATTTGCAAATAATTCTGTGCGACATTTTCACTTATACTGTGCTTAGCACGGCGGCATTTTCACATTTTTCAATAGTTTTCACAAAATTGGAAAAGTGGTCCAGTACATAAACAGTCTAAACGCACTTGGGTATACATTTGCACCGGAGTGGCGCTTAGACTGTGCTTAACATGGGTAATTTTTAAAATTTTTGTATTTAGTATTTTTCATCATCAACTGTATTTTCCAGACATGAAAATAAAAAGGACTCTACTGACAAGCAAACTATATTTTGCATTATATGAACTGACGAGCAAACTGAAATACTCGTCTGCTCGTCAGTAAAGTCCCCTTTTATATATTTTAACTTTTGCTCGTCAGTAGGGTCCTTTTATTAATTCTAGATTAGTTTGCTCGTCAGAAGAGTCCCTTTTTATTTCTAGATTAGTTTGCTCGTCAGTAGAGTCCATTTTTTGATTCTAGATTAGTTTGCTCGTCAGTGGAGTCTCTTTTTTAATTCTAAATTAAGTTTGCTTGTCAGTAGAGTCCCTTCTTTAATACTAGATTAGTTTGCTCGTCAGTAGAGTCTCTTTTTTAATTCTAGGTTAGGTTTGCTCGTCAGTAGAGTCTCTTTTTAATTCTAGATTAGTTTGCACGTCAGTAGAGTCCCTTTTTTAATTCTAGATTAGTTTGCTCGTCAGTAGAGTCCCTTTTTTAATTCTAGATTAGTTTGCTCGTCAGTGGAGTCCCTTTTTTAATTCTAAATTAAGTTTGCTCGTCAGTAGAGTCCTTTTTTTAATACTAAAATTGCGGACATACAAAACACACACACACGCTCACACACACACATACATGCACGCATTCATTTAGTTTCTGAGGTATGCCTTAAAAATGTTCAGAAACCTTTAAAACGTTGAGAAATGCAAAAATTTTCATTTTCGATTTTCGGCCCATTACTATAACTACCATACGGAAAGTTAAAAATAATTATCTACTATCATCTATCAGGGAAGGAGAAGAATGCAGACGATTGACGACTTACGCGAGAAGAGAAAATACAGGGAACTGAAAGCCGAAGCACATGATCAAGAAGCATGGAAACAAAAGTTTGGAAAGGAAAATACTCAAATAAATAAATAGGTTATGGGATGAAGGGCAAGGAAGTCATTTGTTGTGGTGGCTCTCACACCACGGACCTGCCTTCGGGCAGATTACCATTTATTATTTACTATCATCCCTCACCTGTTTATCAGATATCTCCAAAACGTCTCGACTGCACACACCATCAGCATCGGGTTCTTGCAAATCGCAAGTCGCCACATGGACGTCTATCCTGGTACCTGTAGGCGCAGTCAACAACCAGGTGCACCTTAAGGAAGGAGGATACTTTGTCGGGAAACCTGGAGCAGTCAGGATCTGTCTCGACTTGGTAACGTCGAGGACGTTCTTACCACACAAAGCTAGAAGGAAAAAATTAGAGTTATATTAGATGATCCGATTGACGTTGTCCTGTACCCACATCTACGTTTTTTTAATGTCCTATACTAATATTTACCGTTCAGTTAAAAATAATAACTAGCTGTAAGTGGAATTCTGTCTTGAGGCAATTATGGCATCGTGCCTTAAGGCAAATTGCAGGAACTTCCCGTACCGTAACGAAATGTTCGAGGAATACTGAATGTGTTCAAATAGATTATATATTGTAACATTGTCTAATATTTATAAGAATTATATAAACTGTATTGCAGAGTTGAAATTATTTGTAAAGTATATTAGAACTATAGTCAGAATTAAAAATAAAATCTGAAATATTTTCGATATACAAAAAACTAAAAAAAAAAAAATTAAAAAAAAAAAAATGGAACAAAATTTTTTTTTCCAAAATCAATTTGGATGATGATTGTTGATCCGTACGCCCGAAAACGTGGGCGAAAATTTGTATCCATACATACACACACACACACACACACACACACACATCCATTTTTTCTGAGGTATGCCAAAACGTTCAGAAACCTTCAAAACGTCGAGAAATGTAAAAATTTTCAATTTCGATTTTCGGCCCATTACAATAACTTACCCTACGGGAAGTTAATTATTGTTTTTCGAATTACAATTTAAACCAATATATGAGTGATGTTAAATGTAGTACTGTTTCAAATAAAATGATTATTCTCAATTCCCACAAATAACACTTTATTTATCCCTTTAACAAATATTTCATTGTTCAATAAAATTGTATATTAGTATAGAACAAATTTGTTTCGTATTTATTTATTATATATGATTTTTTAGTTATACCTGTAGATGTGGATGTATAAATGAATGAATTTTTGTTTATTCACGACTAAAACATTGATTTTCCAAATTTATCACACAAAAATTATCGCCTGCCCTTGTCATTTATAGCATAAGATATACATATTGGAAATTAAAGTCTTTTAAAAGGTATAAATAAATAAAATATAAATTCAGAAAGAATTAATATATATCATTCACGGTAAAGGTATACAATTATTATATACAATACTTATTATATACAAGGTATTGTATACAATATCCTTATACAATATCACCGTGGATTTTTTCACTCAAAATAATTGCTTCAATAATGTTGCCCATAATTTTTCTAATTTCGTACCACATTTTAACTGGCTTTTAGTAATTTTAATATCAAAATTACATTTTTCTCACTAATAATTCAATATACATTATTACTTAAGTTCATATTTGAAGTGAATTAATTTGTAAAATCCTCTTCACATGTGCTCTATTCAACCTACGATCAACAAAATTATTGCAGTTAATGGAGAGGAAAAAAGCATATGCCCAGTGATTCTTTTTACTGTGTTCCAATTTGCTTGATATTTTGGAAATATGCTAAGCTTAATCTTTATTATCTTATCGTATCTTTTATTCTTTCAGAGATATAATAATTAAAAATTGATTTTTTTTAAATGTTTTTTTTCATGAAATCTTGAGTTTTTTGAAAATCGTTTGTACTAAAGTTGTGGTATTTTCTAGAATCCGTTAAGATCTCATAAACCAAGTTAAATCTAGATGGAATACGGTTATTTTTAATTTTGGTGGAAATGGCACTCATAAACTATTTGATTTAAATGGAAAAAACATTGTATTCGTCTTTCATTCGCATGATAGATAGCTCATTTTACATGCAGAAATATTCATTTTAAAGCTTATTTTGAGGACTATAAAACCCCATTTTCATTTCTAGCCTAATATTGTTCCTAGAACACTATATAAAACACCGATTTATTAAGATTTTAATTGATATAATTTTGATTATTACATGATTTTCGTTAAAATGTATATTTTTAGAAATATTTGCAAAAAACAATGAAAAACGCGAAAAAAACAAATTTTTAGTAGCCGGTAACTTGAAAAGTAATTTCTTTTTTGAAAAACATTGAACATTTTTCTCTTCTAATTCTTTTATCGATATCCCACGTTATTTTGAAAGAGATGCAATTGCATTATTGAAAAGGAATGTCATCCATCCGAGAAGTAAAAAGGAGTCTAAATTATTTTCAAAAATTTCATAAATTGGAGCATAGTAAAAAAAGTCAAACCCAAAACGCTCCATTGACTTGAGTAAATATTTTGTATCCAATGCCAAACAAATGAATTTTTGACACAATGAAACTTCTGCATAATTTTTTGAATAAGTAAATTTGTTTTGTATTGTTATTTAGTTAAGTAAGGCAAAACACGACTGCATTAGTTAAAAGATAATAATCCGTCAAATTAACTATAAAGGGTATATTCAAAGACAGCCGCCAGACGTATTTTAATTTTTGGCACATCTCAGCTGCTTTTTGGCAATAATAATGTAGACATTACATTTTTCTTATTCATAATCATAAATATATTATATTTTAATATTGTCTTAGCCTATAAGTATATGGAAATGTTTGGCAAATGACAGTCGTCTTTTGTTTTTAATGTCAAACTATGCCTTAAATATTTTCAAGGGCAAACAATGATAAGCGGTTTTTTGTAATTTTTTCCATTTATTTCTACAATCTAACTATATTTCTATGAATCAAAACATTCTAAAAAAATTCCCGGACAAACTTCAGGAAGATTCATGAAAATCCGAATAATCGTTTAGGAGGATTAACATTTCATACGCGATTACAGAAGAATTTTATATATAAGATGTGAATGAAAGCACACAACAAAATGTAAATGTCCAAAAATGTACTTACATGGTATAGATTTTATGGTAGCATTAAATCCTGAACTGGTATGTTCCCCATCTGACACAAATCGTATCCACAAAGCATTCGTGGATGATATGACAATATCGGGTAGCATGTGACCACAGTATCTTCCTATAAGTTGTGCAAATCCTGTGCTACCATCACGAACCTGATATAAATCGATATATACATTTATATATCCAATTCTCATACAAACTGAGACAGCTAGTATATATATAATCATGTATAAATCGATATATACATTTATATATCCAATTCCCATGCAAACCGAGACAGCTAGTATATATATAATCATGTATAAATTGATATATACATTTATATACCCAATTTCCATACAAACCGAGACAACTAGTATATATATAATCATGTATAAATTGATATATACATTTATATATCCAATTTCCATACAAGCCGAGACAGCTAGTATATATATAATCATGTATAAATCAATATATACATTTATATATCCAATTCCCATTGAAACTAAGAAAGCTAGTATATATAATGATGTATAAATTAATATATATATTTATATATCCAATTACCATCAAAACTAAGACAGCTAGTATATATATAATCATGTATAAATCGATATATACATTTATATATCCAATTCCCATGAAATCTGAGACATCTAGTATATATATAATCATGTATAAATTGATATATACATTTATATATCCAATCCCCATACAAACCGAGATAGCTAGTATATATATAATCACGTATAAATCGATATATACATTTATATATTCAATTCCCATGCAAACCGAGACATCTAGATATAATCATGTATGAATCAATATATGTTAGATAACAGGGTCTTTCTCACTCAGCTTCATAACATACGAATGGCACGTAAAATAATTGCAACAAATTTAATTTTTTTCGTACAAATTTTTAACAGTATATTTAAAATTACATTTTTAAGTGCCCATCATTGCGTGCCATTCGTATGTTATGAAGCTGAGTCAGAAAGACCCTGTTATCTAACATATATTGATTTATACATGATTATATATATACTTGCTGTATCAAATTGTATGAGAATTGGATATATAAATGTATATATCGATTTATACATGATTATATATATATATATATATATATATATATACATATATATATATATATATATATATATATATATATATATATTAGCTACCTCGGTTTGCATGGGAATTGGATATATAAATGTATATATTGATCTATACATGATTATATATATATACTATCTGTCTCAGTTTGTATGGGAATTGGATATATAAATGTATATATTGATTTATACATGATTATATATATACTAGCTGTATCAAATTGTATGGGAATTGGTAATATAAATGTATATATTAATATATACATAATTATATATATACTAGCTGTCTCGGTTTGTATGGGAATTGGATATATAAATGTATATATTGATTTATACATGATTATATATATACTAGCTGTATCAAATTGTATGGGAATTGGTAATATAAATGTATATATTAATATATACATAATTATATATATACTAGCTGTCTCGGTTTGTATGGGAATTGAATATTTAAATGTATATATTAATTTATACATGATTATATATATACTAGCTGTCTCAAATTGTATGGGAATTGGTAATATAAATGTATATATTAATATATACATGATTATATATATACTAGCTGTCTCAAATTGTATGGGAATTGGATATATAAATGTATATATCGATTTATACATGGTTATATATATACTAGCTGTCTCGGTTTGTATGGGAATTGGATATATAAATGTATATATCGATTTATACATGATTATATATATACTAGCTGTCTTGGTTTGTATGGAGATTGGATATATAAATGTATATATTGATTTATACATGGTTATATTTATACTAGCTGTTTTAGTTTCAATGGGAATAGGATATATAAATGTATATATTGATTTATACATCATTATATACCTTAGTTTCGATGGAAATTGGATATATAAATGTATATATTGATTTATACATCATTATATACATACTAGCTGTCTTAGTTTCGATGGGAATTGGATATATAAATGTATATATTGATTTATACATGATTATATATATATATATATATATATATATATATACTACGGTCCTGGTGCTATTTGTGCGTTTTCTACATTCTATATGACAACATGATAAATACGCCTGACTGCACACTAACCCCATAGCTTTTGTCAATATTCAGTACAAAAAGTTCCTCATAACATAGCCTTGCCATAACATTTGCCTATTATGCAACAAAATCTATCCTTAAACTTTACCAAATTATTTTTTTCGTGTCAATTATATATTTACCTCCAAGTAGTCGCAGTTACATTTATACTCAGCATCCTTATTGGTGTGGTTAACACATGGTGCCAAATGGAAATCCTGAAATTCTAATTTAATATTTTTGCCCAACGTTGTATTCAACGACCAGTGGCAGTCTAGATTATTTAAATATCCTTCGGAGTTCATCAGAGTACCAGGATTTAGCATAAACTGCTGATTTGTGTCTGTTATGTTCAGTAGACCACCACAACCTTGAGACTCTCCTGGTAAAAGATAAAAGAACGATAAAAGAAATAGTGAAATTGTGAAAATGTTTCTATATTTGCCGTGCAATCAGGCGTATTTTACATATAAACAAGCAAGAAAGAATGTTGTGGTAACAGAATTTTAGATAGTGCTGTTATAATTATAATATAATTCTTGCTTGTTTATATGTACGGCAAATAAAAAGACATTTTTCCCAATTATCCTTTATACCTGCGACAAATAAAACATGAGCAATAAATCCACTAAGTTGAACCCCATGATCAGTCCTCATGTGTATAGTCATTGTGTTTTTAGATGATTTCAAAACTGGTAAAGTGTCATTTGCTAAATGTCCACACAATTGAGCAAGTTTTCTTCCTTTTTCACCAATTCCATCAAATATTGCCAGGTAGTCGTAGTAGCAACTTGGGTTGAACTCCATTTCCAGATGATCAATTCTGGAGAAAAATAGAAATAGAAGAATAAAGAAGTAACTAGTGGTGTATGTCATCGTGCCTTAAGGCAAATTGCTGCAACTTCCCTTTACCATAATGAAATATTCGATAAATTTTAAACGTTTTCAAATATATTATTATAAAATACTGTAACTTTCATTACTTTTGCTATATTGTTATATCTGCGCAAATCAAATGTAAATCACAAATAAATCAATTTATCTCCAGAACATTAACAATCGTCCGTCATTTCACTTCGAATTCAATTTCAAAAAAAAAAAATAGTTGCCTAATTTACACAAAATTGAAAAAGTGCTCCCGTATAGTCACAGTCTAAACGCATTTGCGAATAATTCTGTGCAACATTTTCACTTATACTGTGCTTAGCTTGGCAGCATTTTCACATTTTTCAATAGTTTTCACAAAATTAGAAAAGTTCTCCAGTATATAAATAGTCTGAACGCACTTGGGTAAACATTTGTACCGGAGTGGCGCTTAGACTGTGCTCAGCCTGGGTAATTTTTTGAATTTTTAATATAAAATTACAAAAATATTTTATGGAAAATAAAAAAAGATGTAATATTTTTTCATCCTCAAAAGCAATTTTTTTGTCAACACAATCAAAAAGTTTTTTGAATCATGCAAATCGCACGCTTAGTTCACTCAAAAACTGCAATTTTTTGCACATTTAGCTCTATATCTTCGAAATGGTGGGATCTGTCTCTGCCAAAAACTAATCACCTCTTTTCCTAATCATTACAAAAATGAATGTTTTTTAGATCATTTAAATCCGATACTCTATTCTCTCAAAAACTCGATTTGTATTTTCTGCACTCTTTGCTCCGTATCTACGTAACGGCTGGACCTGCCTTTGCCAAAAACTAATCAGCACATCTCCCTATCAATAGGAATCGAATGTTCTTTGAACCAATCAAATCGGTTGATCCGTGCGCCTGAAAACGTGGACGAAAAATTGTATCCATACATACATTCATACAAACACACATATTAGCATGCTAAATTGACCTGCGATCTATGAAAAGAGAAAGAGATAAGTTTAATAAAAAATCAGTGCAAGAATGATAACATTCTAGACCCTCCCCCCACAAAGTAATGCCTAACGGCGGTTTCCGTGGAGACCAAAAACAAGAGCAAAGCGGAGGTTGTAGTCCGACATACTCGGACAAAAGACCTAGTCTGGGATGCATAAAGGCATTTCCTTTGCTACACGAAATAAAAAAAATACACACACACATCCATTTTTTCAGAGGTAAGCCAAAACGTTCAGAGACCTTCAATACGTGAAAAAATGAAAAAAAAAATCTATTTCGATTTTTGGACGATTACAATAACTTACCCTAAGAAAAGGAATAGTTTTATCCTAGTTCTTACCTGACTACTACTTGTTTTCCAGGAGGTGCTGTGATGTTCCAATAGCAATTCATCGAATGATAATATGTACTTGGATTTTCTGAAGATTTTGGAGATTCGATTCTGCCTTGTTTTGTTATATTTCCTCCACAATCTAAAAAAAGGGACAAGTGTTCGAATGATAATAAAGAGCAACCTAAACATTATCTAAAAAAATTTCACTTCTAAATTAGTACAAACAGATCTGAATTATAAAATTTTACGAGTATATGGTTATCCATATCTTCCTCATAAAATAGTGTTGTCATGACAACGCTATTCATGGTTATTTCTTGTTAGTAAAACTGTGAAAATGTCGATCTATTTGCTGTGCGTTCAGGCGTATTTTACATATAAACAAGCAAGGAAGAATGTTATTATAACTGCAGCATCTAGTATTCTCTTAACAGAACATTCTCCCTTACTTTGTTTATATGTAAAATACGCCTGATCGCACGGCAAATAGATAGACATTTTCAGAATTTCACTAACAAGAAACAAGTACAATAATTTATCAGTTACTTTTCTACTTACCGTCCAAGAAATATTCCAGTTTAAATCCTTTCCTCTGGATCCACTGATCAGTCTGGAACACCAAAGAAATACTGTCTCGAATCCTCAGGTCTTGAGGAGGTGTCTTACCACAATAAGACCCAATAGCCTTGCTTTCTTCAGATGATGTACCATCACCATAAGCCCATGCAAAAGTGCTAGTCTCGTATACTGTGACATTGTCAAAGTTGCAACCAGTTTGGGCTAAAAAAGGAAAAAAAAGATAAATGATAAAAGTTTAGTAAATGATAAGAGTTTGATAATTGATAAATCTTTTCTATTTATTACCGTCTTCGAGTTCAAAATCAACAAATTTAACATTGACAAATTCGTTCTTCGCCTTAATTGTGTAATTGCAAACATCTGTCTGCCATAAAAACTAGGATAACCAGGACTGGTCAGAATCTGTACTGATTTATCAGCTTCCAAGACACCTCCACAGTTTTGTTCCCAACGTGCCTAAATAGAAAAAAACAAGTGTTATTGGATATAAAAATGATGATAAGTGTTAAAGTATGGTTAGGATTTACCTTAAAGCCATCTCCAGTGTTCTGGCCATCAGATCTGAACATCACTTTTATCCTGGATCCTGTAGAATTTAAAGCCTGGGGCACATTTCGTCCACAAAGGCTTGCTATAGACTTCCAGTCGTCGTTTATGTAATCCCAAACCTAAAAGATAAATAAATACGATTTACTAAGCCTCAGTAAATGTGAAAATGTCTATTTACCGTGCGATCTGGTGATTTTACATGTAAACAAACAAAAAAAAGTCTTAAATCACTAATTAGAATTCTGTTATCATAACATTCTTCCTTTCTTGTTTATATGTAAAATACTCCTGATCGCACACCAAACTAGTTGCAAATGGCATTTAACCTTAAAGCAAGTTGCATGAACCTCCCAAAATGTGTAAGAATTAACTAATGAAAATGAATTTTAGATATTTAAATAAAATTTTCAACTGTTTATTTAAAAAATAGTGTTTACGCTTTCAATTAAATCTAAACATTACGATTTCGAGTAGAATTTTCTCAAACACATTTAAATTATCTGTAATTATATTGATTATATTAAAATTGTGGCTTATTATTTTAAATTTTAATAAACTGATGATGTTCGACTCATCACATCATAAAAGCAACTTTTGACACAAATTTTTACTATGATATTTTCTCAAACTTTGATGAAATTTTAACATTAAACTATGGTACTAAAGCTGCTAAATCAGTTCTAATAATACTTACATATTTAATATAATTATTTGCTCGAAATATTTTGGAACTGTGGAATACAATCAAAGGAAAGAACTTGACTGATTTTTGTTTGATATAAACTAATTGTATTTTATATATTTTTTTATTTTAGATATATAATTTGTAATTTAAATGTACGAATAATTTCATTATTTATTGATTAATTAAAAAATTTCTTTATATCTTTAGGTATTTTTTTATTGTCGTTTTTTAATACTTGTTGATTATTTATTTAATTATTCAAAATTAATTAATAATATTAATACGCCGTGATTTATATGCATCCAATGATACGTCAAAAGCAAAATTGCATTCTTTGAATTCTTCCTCCTATACGAATTTTTAAAATTAAACCACTAAATAAGGCCTTAATATTTCAGTATGATCTATAAACTATGGTATCTACCCTCAAAAAAATAATAATACAAATCGACGATTTTTTTTTTAACATTTTATTACAAGAAAACGCTTTGGTCGATCTTTACAAAAAACTCATCAGCACGATTCCCAACCAATATCTTTTGAACGGTTTTTCAAATTTCAAAATCGATTCGGAATTGCGAGATTGATAAACACTAGTCCTCATCAAGATACATCGAAGCGCTTTTAAATTTTTGAAATCGGTTAAGCCGTTTTTGAAAAAACGTCAATTTACGGCAAAAAATCTGTTCACACACACACACACATACACACACATAGTTTTTCCAAATTTGGTCTCATTCGATTCAGAATGGATTGAAACGTCGAGAAAACGAACTTCTCCTTCGGGAAGTTAATAAATACAATTTACCGAGCAATTATGTCACATTAAATGTGAAATGTCTATTTGCCGTGCGATCAGGCGCATTTTACTTATAAACAAGTAAGGAATAATGTTATGATAACAAAATTCTAGATGGTGCAGTTATATCATTGCTTGTTTTTATGTAAAATACGCCTGATCGCACGGCAAATAGATAGACTTTTTCACCATGACCCCAGGCTATTTTATGAGACAGAATTGCCTCCTCAATTAATTTAATCTTAAATCACTATTTTTTCTTGACTACCTGGATAAAGTCCTTAGTGCAGTTAACAGAAGTTTCCAAATAAAACCGTTCCTCAAAAACCAAACCAATATGATACCCCTGATCGCCTCTGATCTCCCAAGTGCATTCTGCATTATTCGGATACTGTTGACCAGGCCCAAAGTTTGGTGACTGCAACAACTGGGTACCACCAGGATGTAAAACACCACCACAACCTAAAAAAAAAATCAGCATTTACAAAAAATCAATTATTTTGTAATCAAAGTAAATTGACAAATCTAATTAATAATTGTTAATCGACTAGTATGTAATCTAATTGATATTTTTGCAATTTAATAACTGATTTCTAACTAATTTTTTAAACTTCTCCATCTACATCAATATTTAACTTTTATAACAATCGATAAATGATACAATATGGCAAAAAAATAATTTTAATTAAATAAATCTAATTTTAATTTAGATTAAACAAAATTTTGAATGTAAAAATGCTTTAAATTTTTCTATTAATATGTAACCAATAACTTATGAAAAATCTTAAAATTTATTTGTCTTTCAAGTAGTTATCTAATTAACCAATTGACATCATTGAATAACTGGCACATATTAATCAATAATTATTAATGAACTTACAATTATAATCAATACGCATATTTTAGTCATTTATAATAATTCACAACTAATTTTATTAATATGATTGATAACTATTATTATAATTCACAATTTTGTATATTATTAGGTGTACAACTTTGCTTCCGCCGTTTTTACAACACGAGTTCTTTACAATAAAGGCGGCAGCAAACTTGTACATCTAATATATTTCCGATCATATTTTAGAGTATAGCGAGTTGTTGTAGGACTAAATGATGCTAGACAATATTGTCAATGATTTAATTTTCAACAAATTTGCCGAAGACATCGTTCAAATTAAACAAACGGTTTAGAAGTTACAAGCGATAAAATAAAAGTATGCACTTGGTGTACTAAAATTTAAAGTTTTGTTTGTTAGAAAACTGGGGTACTTTATGCTCAGATTTTTTGTTTCATTTCAATTGCAACTTTGAAGTATACCGAGTTGCTTCAGAGTTTAATTATCTTAGACAACATTTTAGATAATTTAATTTTGAACAAATTTGTCGAATATTGCATTTAAATCAGACAAACCGCTTAGGAGTTACAAGACTATTAATAAATAAATGCACCAGCACGATGGATCAAATGAAGGGTCGAAACGTTTCGCCTCAAATATGTCGTGTGGGGTATCATTTAAAAGGTCTCGATAAAATATATTCAAATCTAAAATTGACTGACATGATAGAACAATAGGGTTCCGTATAATACATATTTTTTACATACTAGCTATCAAATTTTTATTTTAATTAAGATTTTACAATTGATCAGTTGTTACCTAGAGTAGTCGCTTCCACGGTTATGTCGAATCTGGTATCAGCATTGTATTTATCGGCATGATATTCAATCCAGACGTCTGATCCTTGGGTGATTGTAGAACCCGATGGTACTTGCGAGCCGCATAATTTATACAGGAGCGGACTCATTGGAAATTTGCCGTTGTAGATCAGGATGTACGACTGGTCACAAGGTAGGGCTATGTTGAGGTTCGAGATTTTGATCTAAAAAAATATAATATAAAAGACTAAACTATAGAAGAGGTGCAATTAAGCGGCACAACTAGTGTAACCGCCTAAAAAAAAGGTGAGTTTCGGGAATTTATATTAAAAAACCTACTTTATCAATCATTTCAAAATCTTAGGAATATATTTACACATGTTTTAAGAATACATAGTAAAATTTTTGAAGAAAAAAATTAAATATTTTTTAAGTTATCGTCGATCTACAACGGCGCGACAAAAAAAAGACCCTTAACTGCTGCAGTGATTTCGGCCTTCTACGTAGATAAAATTTAAAAAAAAAATTCTTGTTAAACTAGATAATATTGTCTGTAAAATGAACTACGATAAAGAATAAAAATCAAAAATTGACAAAATGACGGCGTTTTTTAAAAAAAAGGCGAATTTTACCCAAAATTTTGGTCGTTTTGGGACTGCCAAAATTCGATTTTTGGTCCGATCAATAAATCGATAGTTCATTTTACGGAAAACTATATATAGAACATGTGAAAAAAAATTGATAGTGATCGGATTTGTTTTTAAGTAATCACTGCAGCAAATTCGGAAAATGCTGTTTCGAGAAAAACGCGTTTAAAGATAAAATGATCTACTATATACTATATATATATATATATATACTTTTTAAATGGCTGTAACTCAAAAACTATTCAAGATATCGATTTAAAATTTTGGTATGGTATTTTTAAAGGTATAACCTATCGAAATATGAAAAAATTGAAAATTTGATTTTTTGAAAATTTCACACTAGTTTACTGTGTAATGTGCGTCTGTATGAAATATAATATTGGGCATTCAAAATTTCTTTTAATAATTTACGTCTTTAAGAGAATAATTTGGAATATGATCTAATAGTTGTATTTCGTATGTCGAAACGTAGTTCAATAACAATAATTTTGTACAAGATATTTTGTCGTGCGTATAAAGTTTTGTTTTACTCGCGAGGAGCCAGTAATATCTTTTTCTCCATTAATCTTTATTAATCTCAACATCATTACCAAATGATTTAAAATTTTTAAAACCTATTTTTATTCCTGAATTTTATTTTTTGTTCGTTTAGGTGTGAAAATTATAATATGATAAAAAAATCGTTATACTAAAGTATACTTTTTCACTATCATACTTTTCTTGTAATGCAGTCACAATTTCAATACTACTAAAATTGTTAATCCTTTAATTGCGTTTTTATCCTGGTTTCTAAAATAATTCGTTTGAATATTACCTATGCAACTTATGTTAACATAAATTGAAATAAATATCATTCCTTTAAAACATAAAATTGCAGTGCAATTCTAATAAAAATTGAAGAAAGCATTCTGAACATGTATTGTTAAATAACACATTACTGAGATTGATAAAAAGTGCTGAGCTGACTTTTTGACTTTATTGCTCACTTAATATTTGCTTTGGTAAATGATGATGTACTTGTACAACAAACTAATCATTTTATTTATTTCAATCTTGAGTACTAAAATTGTATCATTCTGCGACAAACTAGGTGGCAATGATATTCTTTCGAAATAAACCGCACGGTAATTTAATAAATATACTATACCATAACACTTATTATACTTATAACAAAAAAAACATCAATAAATAATAAACAATTATGAGATAGAAATGAAACGCTGTATTGGTTGCCATATATAAAAAACGGCGTAGTTTGTAAGGAATTCTTTAAAACGGCTAATAGAATCCTTGAGTTCTATAAAAAATCAAATATAATACCATTAGGTTGTCAAATATCTCCCTTCCGCTTTTTTGCTCTTGGTTTATAATACAAAAGGGCGGAAGGGAGATATTTGACAACCTTATATATATACATACACTTTAAATGGCTGTGAATCAAAAACTATTTAAGATATCGATTTAAAATTTTGGTATGTTGTTTTTAAAGGTATAACTTATAGAAATATGAAAAAATTGAAAATTCGATTTTTTGAAAATTTCACACTAGTTGTGCCCCTTAAAGATGTTTTACCTGAAGGGCTTGTCCTTCGTCTCCTCTGACTCTCCAAGCACAATCAGCTTGTCCTCCGAAACTACCAGGACTTGGCACATCATTATGAGTCAATCTTTGACCTAAAGCCAATTTACCACCGCAACTATGAACTCGGTATTTCATTGTAAAGTTGACTTTGACTAAATCATTCACCTTGTCTACAGATACGACTGTGGTCCTCAAACTTGACCTCACGATTGTAGGACCAGAGAAATTTCCACACAGTTGCGCAATTGCTGATTTCTTCTCTGGAAAAACATAAAAATATAATACTAATTAGGGAATGCAACACCGGTATTGCGGTATACCGAATTACCGGTAAACCGTCCGATTTTTCGGCGGTATTTTTACATGTATTTACCCCAAAAATACCGGTATTTTCGCTATTACATAAGCTATTTGATACATAATACACAAAAGTTTAAATTTCTCGGAACGAATTTATCTTTAATTTCCGTAATCACATAAACAGCTATATCTTCAAGTGATTCTATAGGATAAACAAATGTCAAATATTATCTCAACTCGTCATTAAACTGAATATTTATTGCTTTCCAAAGGGCTTCATATCGTGTTACAATAAATAGAATTGGACTGATAGATAATGATGTTTGTTTCATCTTATGTAAAAATGTAACGGTTTTTTAAGTGATATTTGCGCCAAAATATTTTATATCATACAGATTACCCCTGCGTAATCTTTATCTTTTTCTAACTTTATACATAATAGTTATGATAATTACTAAATATTTTTGCTTCTTATTACAATTATAAAATATTATTTTTCGAAAAGGTTTTGACGTTTGAAAATACTATAGAAGCATCACGTTGTTTTAAATAACAATATTCAACAATTATAGTAACTTATTATTCATCTTGACAAAGTATACGATCTTAAATTAGTGTAGAAAATTATTTTTTTAAAATATTGGAGATTATGCTAATTTAACACATCGGACACAGACAATACAGTTTATTATAATAATGTAATATGATCTTTTATGAGTTTTTGGTCTTTCCTACTCATAAGTTTGTTTTCGATGAAAAATATTCAATTTACTCGTTAGTGATAATGAATTAAATTGGATATAATTTTGTTAAATTATTATTTAAAAAAAATAAACTTATTGTTTTATTTTATTGTTTAGTTGAATATAGTTGTAGTTGTAATAGGTTGTCAAATATCCGCCTTTTTGTATTATAAACCAAGAGCAAAAAAGCGGAAGGGAGATATTTGACAACCTAAAAATTATTTCGCTAATATTAGGTTGTCAAATATCTCCCTTCCGCTTTTTTGCTCTTGGTTTATAATACAAAAAGGCGGAAGGGAGATATTTGACAACCTAATATATACATGTTTTTATATTTGTACTAGTGACTTTCAATTTTGTTTACGTTTGTTTAAGATAATAAAAATACGGGTAATTTTCCGGTATTCTGGTTTTAAAATAAAAATTACCGAAATACCGGTATTGAAATTTTTCATCGGTATTGCATTCCCTAATACTAATCTCAAATAATGTTATTAGTGTTTTTTATCTTACTTCCATTAGATCGGACATTGATGGATGCTGGTGAGTATCTGCAGTTTTGAGCTTTATTGCCAAGTTGGGCATCGGTAAATGTTAATGCAAGGGTTTCTGATGCATTTCTTTCCCTGGTCCAAAGCCATTCACAATGCCAACTTGCTAAATCCGAAGGAGGTGTGATTGTACCTTCGGTATCATCCATGTTGCCCTGACAATCTAAAAACCCCAACAAAAAATTAAATAAACTAGTTGGTTTTGGTATTTACAAGTTACATGAACTTCCCGATATGTGAAACTAATCGACTTAATCAATAAAAAAATAAATTATTTTTATGAGTGATTAAAAGTATTCCGAGTGGATTTATTACACATTATTGAGAACAAACGAACACGTTAACCCTTCTTTGCACGGTGATGGAAATTTCAATCACAACATTTAGTTATATGAATAAACAAGATTCTAGCACAAGATCACACTGGTTACCAAAGTTTTGATATGAGCCCATTTCTTCAACAATGCCGCTGAACAAGTATAACTTTATTTAGTTATCTTTACATTTTAATAACAATGATCTTCACAAAGAATATCTGCCTAAGAAACCCCATAAATGGGGCTTCAAATTTATAATGTCTGTTATTTGATGGAAGAATAAAAAAGATTGAGTAAAAAATATTTTGTTATGTATTTACTACTGAGCTAAATATGTGACAATGCATGATGATGCAAATTTCCATCATATTGTTTTTTACATGATACACATTCCTACTTACATTAGAATTTTTTAAAATATTTTTTCTTTCATCTAGAGCATTAATTACATCACCCTGATTAGTTTTAACGAAATAGAAAAAATCATGCAATGAAGAGTTAACTCGGAGTATTTTCTAGAAGCAAATTTTCGATTTTTATATTTGAACCAGTTTCCGTAGGACTTTAATGGTTTATTAATACCAACTACTCTAACGTTATACCAAGTAAATCGTCTAATTTTAATCTTAACAAATGTCAAAAAAAAACTACTCATTTTCCCAAACTTTGATGATTTTTTAAAATTAAACTACTTGTCATAAGGTCGTAATATTTCAGTAAGTTCTATAAGACCATGATATATATCTCTAAAAAAAGTTCCATAGAAATCGGCTTAAATTTATTTTTCAACATTTAATTACAAGAAAACGGCTCGGTAGATTTTTACCTAAAACTAATCAGTATCATTCCCAACTAATATCTTTCGAACGGTTTTTAAATTTTTAAAAACGATTCGGTAGTATGAGCTTAAATGTGGACGAAAAGTTTAACACTTTTTTTTAAATTACAAAGAAACGGCTCGGCCGATCGTCGCACAAAACTGACAAACGATAGTGCTCATTGAGATACTTCAAATGGCTTTTAAATTTCTGAAATCGGTTCAGGCGTTTTTGAGCAAACGTCGATGAAAGGTCTAATTTTGACAAATGTCAAAAAAACGATACCAATTTTTGCAAACTTTGACGAATTTTTAAAGCTAAACGAGTTGTCGTAGGGCCGTAATATTTTAGTATGACCTAGAAGACTATGGTATCTACCGTCAAAAAAATAATAATAAAAATCGACGAAAAAAAATTTTAATACCTTGTTACAAAAAAACGGCCCGGCCGATCTCTACCAAAAACTAATCAGCACGATTCCCAACCAATATCTTTCGAACGGTTTTTGAATTTTTAGAATCGATTAAGAATTGCGGGCTAATACGTGGACAATTTTTTTTTCACTTTTCTGCGATTTATAAAGAAATGGCTTAGACGATCGTCGCACAAAAGTGACAAACATAGTCCTCATCTCGATACATCTAGTGGCTTTTAAATTTTTGAAATCGGTCTAACCGTTTTTGAGAAAACGTCGATTTACGGCAAAAAATCTGTTCACGCACACACACACACATACTTTTTCCAAATGTTGGTCTCATTCGATTCAGAATGGCTTGAAACGTCGAGAAAACATAAAATTAGCGAATCGGATTTTTTGATGAAAACATAAACTTCTCCTTCGGTAAGATAATAAATAAAACAATTTAATAGTATGTCTTTTATCTGGTACTTACACGACTCTTTATCCGACGAGAATCTCAACTTAAACCCTCTATTCGACGACGAGTATCTTCCCCAGAAATTGATCATCATTTTATTACTAGAAGACTCGATGATGTTAGAATAATTTTGACCACCTCGCAGTAAAGTTATTCGGGACAAATAGTTGTGATCGTTGTAAAACTAGAACAAAAGTTGACAGTTATTAAGGTGAGTAAGGCAATTTTTGGCATCAACTTACTGATAACTTGGCATCAAAAATATAGGATCTGCCTTGCAGATCAAAGTCTAGGATTTCGACGGTGATTCTTCGTCCTTCGGGGACAGTGATCATCCATTCGCAGAATCTGCTGTGAGTTCTTCCAACAGGGTAACCTGGACTTGTTATTATGCCTGATGGTTCGTTTATTTCGCCACCACAAACTGGAAAAAAATACTTGGTAAGAAAATTATATTGTTACATAATTAGAGAGAAGAAAATACTTGGTGAGACTAGTGGTGTATGGCATCGTTCCTTAAGGCAAATTGCTGAAACTTCCCAAAATATTCGAGAAATTTTAAACGTTTTCAAATATATTATTACAAATACTGCAGTAACTTTCATTATTTTTGCTATCTTGTTTGTTATATCTGAGCAAATCAAATGTAAATCATAAATCATAAATCAAAATATCTCCAGAACATTAACAATCGTCATTTCATTTCGAATTCAATTTTAAAAAAATAATTGCCTCTAATTTACACAAAATTGAAAAAGTGCTCCCGAATAGTCACAGTCTAAACGCATTTGCAAATAATTCTGTGCGACATTTCCACTTATACTGTGCTTAGCTTGGCGGCATTTATAAGAACTAAAATGATTGTTGTTAAATTGAGGAGGCTACATTTTAATATATTATGATCTCGTTTTATACTTTTGGACCGGTTCGATTTTTATTTGTTTATAACTTTTAAACAAATTGTCCGATTGTTTAGCAATATTCAGCAAATTTTCAGCCAATTAAATTATCTACAACTTTTGTTAATAAAAAAATGTTGTATCTCATATCCTTTTACCCAAAATTTGCAATGAAACAGGTTGTTGTTAAATTTTGGAGGTTGCGTCAGTATATCTTGCTTCACACTTTTGGACCAGCTCGATTTTTATTTATTTATTTATAACTTCAAAAGGAAATGTCCCACCATTTTGCAATATTCAGCAAATTTATAGCCAATTAAATTACCTACAATTTCTATTAACATCAAAAATTGGTATCTCTTGTCCTTTTATCAAAAATTTACATTTAAAAAAGTAGTTGCTAAATTTTGGAGGTTACATCATACTCATATATCTTACTCTGTCACTCTTACTCTGTCAGGTATATGTTGCTCTTTTTCGCACTAGTGTTTTATATATATATATATATATATATATATATATCTCTGATTTTCTCACTATATACTGTTGTCTCTTTTATGTTTAATCAAAACAGACTCTATATCACATCGCGACTTAAGAAGTTTTACTTCAAAAATAAAATTCTATTTTACTAATTTATACATCGCCAACCTAAGAAGTTGAATTCAAATGTAAATCATAAATAAATCAATTTATCTCCAGAACATTAACAATCGTCATTTCATTTCGAATTCAATTTCAAAAAAATAGTTGCCTAATTATTTGCACAAAATTGAAAACGAAAAAGTGCTGCCGTATAGTCACAGTCTAAACGCATTTGCAAATAATTCTGTGCGACATTTTCACTTGTACTGTGCTTAGCTTGGCGGCATTTTCACACTTTTCAATAGTTTTCACAAAATTGGAAAAGTGCTCCAGTCTAAACACACTTGCGAAAACATTTGTACCAGAGTGGCGCTTAGACTGTGCTTAGCCTGGGTAATTTTTTAAATTTTTTAATCCAAAATTACAAAAATATTTCATGGAAAATATATAAAATATGGATATTATAATTTTTTATCCTCGAAAGCAATTGTTTTGTCAATACAAGCTGAAAGTTTTTTTTAACTTCCCATAGGGTAAGTTATAGTAATCGCAAAATAATCGAAAATGAAAATGTTTATATATCTTTACGTTTCAAACCCTTCTGAACATTTTGGCATATCTTAGAAAAAATGGATGTATGTGTGTGTGTGCGGATACAAATTTTCGTCAAAGATTTCGGGAACACCGATCAACCGATTTGAATAATTCAAAAAACATTCGATTCGTATTGATAAGAAGACGTGCTTATTAGTTTTTGGCAAAGGCAGGTCCAGCCGTTCCGAAGATATGGGACAAAAAATGCCAAAAACGTTAACTGAGGTTTTAAGAGAACGGAGCGTCCGATTTGAATAATTCAAAAAACATTTTACTTATATTAACAAGATGAAGAACTGATCAAATTTTCATGAAGGCAGATCTAGCGGTTTCGGAGATCCAACAAAAAAAAGTAAAAAAAAAGCCATTTGGCGGTCAAAAATGATCATTAGACATATGCACATCAAATTATCAGATATTTTATAGAGATTTTAACAATAAGTATAAAATTTGTTCACCTTCCTATGGGTTCCGTACCAATGTTTATCCGTTGGCGGCGCGACGCTTACGCGCTTCGATATTTCGTCTCTATGCAGTTAAAGCAGTACGATTGCTTTGAAAAAAAGTTTAAAATTTCCAAAATAAGTCAAAATAAAGAAAACATTTTTTTTTCAAAAAATTTTTGGCGAATTTATAGTTTCTCAAAAATCTAATTTTTTCTAAGTAATTTTTTTTCAAAAATGTTAATCGTTGATTGGTTGATTCAAATCGGTTGATCCGTGCGCCCGAAAACGTGGACGAAAAAATGCAAACATACAAAACACACACACACACACATACACACGTCCAGTTTTTCTGAGGTATGCCTGAGGTTCTGAAATGTTCAGAAACCTTCAAAACGTCGAGAAATGGAAAAAAAATATTTTCGATTTTCGGCCTATTACTATAACTACCCTATGAAGAGTTAAAAATTATATTGTTACATAATTAGAAAGAAGAAAATACTTGGCAAGAAAATTATATTGTTACATAACTAGAGAGAAGAAAATTCTTGGCAAGAAAATTATATTGTTACATAACTAGAGAGAAGAAAATTCTTGGCAAGAAAATTATATTGTTACATAATTAGAGAGAAGAAAATACTTGATAAGATAATTATGATTATAATCAAATTTTACCACTTGTGCTGGAGTTGTAGTACAACTGGAACCCTTTGTACATATTCTGCCTTTCTTTAGTAACAAAACGCACATGAACTTTGTTACTCGAAGCAGAGATTTCCATGGAATTGTTTGTGCCACAGTAAGTTCCAAGATAATATGCTAAAAAATAAAAATTTATATCATTCGAACGCAAGTGTTATTTTTACATATGTCTTCTCTCCTCTGACCTGTTCGATTAAAATCATTTCCAACTACTTCCGATATAATTACATGATCGACATTGGTGCAATTTCTGCCAGTAGGCAAATTCAAATCCGTGAACTTCATCGTCAAGAAATGTCCTTCAGGTCCTATTATTTCGTAACTGCAATCAGAATTAGGTGGGTAAGCCCCTGGAACTGGATAATTGGGTGATGATATTTTGCCTTCGCTGCCTCTGTACGAACCGCCACATGTATCTGAAAAAAAAACAATACTAGCAGTGATTTAATTTCAATAACTATTTTCTTGCATGATCCTTATCCTGTATCTATGTAGTCTGACCATTGGATCGCCTGTACAACCATATTTTTTTCATTTTTTCTATTGCTATTTTATTAATTTTTTTTTTTTACGGTTTTAAATGAGTATAACTTTCAACCTCGTGCAAGAATTTTGAGCTTGAATCGTGGTCAAATAAACTTTAATATGATGAACATTGTATTTAATGTTCGAATGTTTTTTTTTCCAGCTCTTTTTTTTCAGAAGCGAAATTCGTGCAGCTACTATGATTATTATAAAATTACTATCCCCTTAATATTAATTATAAATAAGCTTAACAAGAGCCTAAAATAATATCTATTATTATTGATTACGGCTTGCTTATGAATAAATAAAATAAATAAATAAATAAGTGTATGGTATCGTGAGCTAGGCAACGCTATATAATGCTTGTTTCTTGTTAGTGAAACTGTGAAATTGTCTATTTATTAACTTCCCGTAGGATAGTTATAGTAATGGACCGAAAATCAAAAATGAAAATTTTTGCATTTCTCGACGTTTTGAAGGTTTCTGAACATTTTTAAGGGGCATACCTCAGAAACTAAATAGATGTGTGCGTGTATGTGTGTGTGTATTTTGTATGTCCGCATTTTTAGTATTAAAAAAAGGACTCTACTGACGAGCAAATTAGTCTAGAATTAAAAAAGGGACTCTACTGACGAACAAATTAGTCTAGAATTAAAAAAAGAATTCTACTGACGAGCAAACTAATCTAGAATTAAAAAAGGACTCTACTGACGAGCAAAATAGTCTAGAATTAAAAAAGGGACTCTACTGACGAGCAAACTAATCTAGAATTAAAAAAAGGACTCTACTGACGAGCAAACTAGTCTAGAATTAAAAAAGGGACTCTACTGACGAGCAAACTAGTCTAGAATTTAAAAAAGACTCTACTGATGAGCAAATTAGTCTAGAATTAAAAAAGGGACTCTACTGACGAGCAAACTAATCTAGAAATAAAAAAGGGACTCTACTGACGAGCAAACTAATCTAGAATTAAAAAAGGGACTCTACTGACGAGCAAAAGCTAAAACGTATAAAAGGGGACTCTACTGACGAGCAGACGAGTATTTCAGTTTGCTCGTCAGTTCATATAATGCAAAATATAGTTTCCTTGTCAGTAGAGTCCTTTTCATTTTCATGTCTGGTAAAATATAGTTGATAATGAAAAATACTAAATACAAAAATTCAAAAAATTACCCAGACTAAGCACAGTCTAAGCGCCACTCTGGTAAAAATGTTTTCGCAAGTGCGTTTAGACTGTATACGTACTTAAGCACTTTTCCAATGTTGTGAAAACTATTGAAAAATGTGAAAATGCCGCCAAGCTAAGCACAGAATAAGTGAAAATACCGCACAGAATTATTTGGAAATGCGTTTAGACTGTGACTATACGGGAGCACTTTTTCAATTTTGAGTAAATTAGGCAACTATTTTTTTTTAAATTGAATTTGAAATTGAATGACGATTGTTAATGTTCTCTGGAGATAAATTGATTTATAATTTATATTTGATTTGCTCAGATATAATAAGATAGCAAAAATAATGAAAGTTACAGCATTTGTAATACCACGTTTAAAATTTCTCGAATATTTCATTACGGTACGGAAAGTTCCAGCAGTTTGCCTTAAGGCACGATGCCATACACCATTAGTTTCCTGAGCGATCAGGCGTATTTTACATAAAAAACACAGCAAGGAAGAATGTTATGATAACTGCATCTAGAATTCTGTTATCATAACATTCTTTCTTGCTTGTTTATATGTAAAATACGCCTGATCGCACGGCAAATAGATAGACATTTTCGCAGCAAGCATAAGATAGCGTTGCCATGACAACGCTATTTTATGAGACAGAATTGTCTACTTTTTTACACAACTTACCTAAACTCAATGCAAGTTTGAACCCGTTCTTAGGATCATCCACTTTAGTGAAAAATTTGACGTACATCATATTCCCGGAACTTCTTATTGTTCCTGGTTTATTGCTTCCGCACCAACTTCCTAGCAGTGCAGAATTTTCAGTGGCTCCATCTCGTATCTCGACGAAGGCCGAATCACAACTGAATAGAAACAATAGAAATAAATACCGGTCAATTGGTACTGGGAGAATCCAATGGTTACTTACAAAGTGCTCATCGTGATATCAAATCTATCCTTAAATTCTGCCTTGATGATTTCGCCATTCGGTGCCATGATCACCCACTCGCACTCGCTGTGAGGAGGAGGAATGTTGGGATAGTTCGGCGAACTGATCTCCTGCATGTTTTTGCTGTTGGTTAGAGTTACCCTGTCGCCACAGAGGTTGTTGACTTCTTTGTATCTGATTCTCAACGCTTGCTGGGAAATAAATATAGACAATGATTGGGTGTATAAAATTATTCGCGCGTCTTAACTTACCTTGGAGGTGTCGATGCTGTAGAATTTGATATATAAATTGTTCCCGGTGGTCACAAGTGGTTCGGTAACAGGGATGTTTCCACAATACTTTCCGTTTCCAAGGAGGGGCGAGGTGCTGCTGTGTCCATTTTTTAACTACGAAGAAAGAAAGATGAGAACAGTAATACCTCGCTTAACGCTATAATACCCCGCTTAACACTATAATACCCCGCTTAACGCTGTTTCGGCTTAGCGCTCTTTTATTTGAACCCAGATTTGCTGTGTCCATTTTTCAACTACGAAAAGAATAAATATAAGTAAACCCCGCTTAACGATGTTTCGTTTAGCGCTCTTTCCTGTGTTCATTTTTCAACTATGGAGAGTAAATTACCAACGGATAAGACATCCCTCAATCATCTCACTAACGCGCTGAGAAAAAAAAGAATAAAAAAATTGTACATTCCGGTTGTATATACAGCTAAAAATAATACCCCGCTCAACGCTGTTTTGTTTAGAGCTTTTCTACTATAACTCAGGTTTGCTCTATCGTTTTTTAACTATAATGAAAGATGAGTACAGTTATACCCCGCTTAACGCTGTTTCGTTTAGCGCTCTTTTATTTCAATCATTTTTAACCACAAAGAAAGAAAAATGAGTACAGCAATGCCCCGATTAACGCTGTTGCGTTTAGCGCTTTTTTATTTTAACCATTTTTAACCACGAAGAAAAAAATGAGTACAGCAATACCCCGCTTTACGCTGTTTAGTTTAGCGTTCTTTTCTGGGTTCATTTTTCAACTACGAAGAGAAAATAATACTCCCCTCCACGTTGATTCGTTCAGCGCTCTTTTCTGTGTTCATTTTTCAACCACGACACTAAATAATACCCCGCTTAACGCTGTTTTGTTTAGCGTTCTTTTTTTCAACCCAGACTTGCTGTGCAGAAAAATAGGTACAGTAATACCCCGCTTAGAGCTGTTTCGTTTAGCGCTTCTTTTGTGTTCATTTTTCAACTACGAAGAGTAAACAATATCCCCCTCAACGTTATTTTGTTTAGCGCCCTTTTATCTCAACCTAAGTGTGCTGTGTCCATTTTTCAACATGAGCACAATGATACCCCGCTTAACGCTGACTACAAAGAAAGATGAGTATAGTGATATCCCGCTTAACGCTGTATCAGTTTAGCGCTCTTTCCAAATTTTCGTCGACGATTTCAGGAACATGAGTCAACAGATTAGAATAATTCAAAAGACATTCGATCTCTATTGATAGGGAGAAGTGCTGATTAGTTTTTGACAAAGACAGGTCAAGCTGTTACGGAGATACGGAGCAAAAGAATAATTGATTTTTTGAGAGAACGGAGCGTCCGATTTGTATTATTTAAAAAACATTGTATTCGTATTGATGAAATGAAGACCTGATGAAATTTATGGTAAGGCAGATCTAGCGTTTTCGGAGATTTAATGAAAAAATTGAAAAAAAAATGTCATTTGACAGACAAAAATGATCATTGGACATATGCACATCAAATTATCACATATTTTATAAATATTTTAATAATAATAACAAATTTTGTTTACATTGCCATGGGTTCCGTACCAATGTTTCGATATTTAGTTTCGACGCAGCTAATGTATCGCTTTAAAAAAAAGTACAAAATTTCCATAATATTTCAAATAAAATTTTTCAAAAAGGTCAATTTTTTCACAAAAATCTCAAAAATGGAGTTTTAGAATAAAATTGAATCTTTTTTTAAAACTTTTGGTACGGAAAGTTCCAGCAATTTGCCCTAAGGCACGATGCCATACACCACTAGTTAAATTTAACACATAATCAACTCTCTAGCCATCCCTAAATCCAATATTTTCATAAAAACACAGCCTCGTTTAGCGCTGTTTCGCATTGTTTGTGGATTTTGTGTAAAATCAATATATAAATGTATATATCGATTTATACACGTATATACATTTATATATTAAATTTAGACAAAATTCACGTGTGTAAATCGATATATACATTTATATATTTAATTTAGACAAAATCCACAAACATTCCTGTAGTTATACACGTGTGTAATGGATATATACATTTATATATTGATTTTACAACTTACTATAACATAATTCAGGCACGTTTCCGATCCTGGTGTGGCTGGTATGTTGATTTCAGGAATTTCTACGGATATAGTTTTTCCTGGACGTACTGTAACGTTCCATTGACACTCCCAAACCAGGACTGATGTTCGAACTCTGGTATTTTCTTTCGCTGTATTATTTGTCAGCACTATTTCACCTGATGGGGATGATAGAGTACCGCCACAAGCTGAGAGAAAAAATAATAATAAAATTAGGTAAAACACTTTAACAGACCAATGTTATGGCAAGGCTATGTTATGAAGAACTTTCCATACTGGATATCGACAAGAGCTATGCGGTTGCTGTGCAGTCAGGCGTATTTCTGGGGTTGTCAGATAGCAAACCGAACCAAGAAACCGCACAAATGTCAAAAAAACTTTAGATAACAGGGTGTTTCTGACCCAGCTTCATAACATGCGAGTGACGTTGCAGTTTATGTGTAAAACGCCTGAATGCGCAGCAAATACACGACATTTTGACAGTATGATTCAGTAGCATGATGTATGTAAGTTGGACTGTAACATGGCCTTGTCATAACATTTTTCTGTTATGGGTGAGTTATTACCTGGGTGAATCCTTGCACTAAAACCAGTCTTGTTCAGGTACGAATCGCTAACAAAAGCAACCTTCATAAACTGATTTGCATGAATAGTCGGCAAAGTCGTAGCATTACTCAGACAATAAGAACCTAAAGACTTCCATTTACTAAAACCACCATCCAAACCTGAAAAGAAACTAGTTGAAAGTGGCATTTAACCTTAAGCTACCCTAAATGTGTAAGAATTGACTTAATCAATCGAAATTGAGATTTAGATACTTAGACAAAATTAGTCAACTGTTTATTTCGAAAATTAAGTTATCGCTTTCAATTTTAATTATAATAGATAATATATTAATGAAATAGTCAAATGAAATGTATATATAAAATATTTATAATATATAAAATATAGTTTTTCATAATCTCTCATACCAGTTACCTCCGTCTGACATATATGAAAATAATGTATATATATAAGTAAATAAATAAATAAACAAAAAAAAAAATTGCGATTTCGAATAGAATTTTCTCAAACACTTTTAAATTAACTATAATTATATTAAATATATTGCACAGACACTACAGTGCTTGTATGCCCTGAAATTGTACCTTATTATTTTAAATTTTAATGAGGCATTTAAATTTGCTCGTCAGTAGAGTCCCTTTCTTATTTTTAAAGACGTCATTCAAGTTTGCTCATCAGTAGAGTACCTTTCTTATTTTTAAAGATGTCATTTAAGTTTGCTCGTCAGTAGGGTCCCTTTCTTATTTTTAAAAATGTCATTCAAGTTTGCTCGTCAGTAGAGTCCCTTTGTTATTTTTAAAGATGTCATTCAAGTTTGCTCGTCAGTAGAGTCCTTTTCTTATTTTTACAAATGTCATTTAAGTTTGCTCGTCAGTAGAGTCCTTTTCTTATTTTTAAAGACGTCATTCAAGTTTGCTCGTCAGTAAAGTCCCTTTCTTATTTCGAAAGATGTCATTTAAGTTTGCTCGTCAGTAGAGTCCCTTTCTTATTTGTAAAGATGTCATTTAAGTTTGCTCATCAGTAGAGTCCTTTTCTTATTTTTAAAAGCGTCATTCAAGTTTGCTCGTCAGTAGAGTCCTTTTCTTATTACTAAAGATGTCATTCAAGTTTGCTCGTCAGTAGAGTCCCTTTCTTATTTCGAAAGATGTCATTTAAGTTTGCTCGTCAGTAGAGTCCCTTTCTTATTTGTAAAGATGTCATTTAAGTTCGCTCGTCAGTAGAGTCCCTTTATTATTTTTGAAGATGTCATTCAAGTTTGCTCGTCAGTAAAGTCCCATTCTTATTTGTAAATTTGTCATTCAAGTTTGCTCGTCAGTAGAGTCCTTTTCTTATTTGTAAAGAATCATTTTCATATTTCTTAATTGGTTCATTTCACTATTCATTTGAATAGTGCTCGTCAAGACCTTTCATTTGATACCCAACATGCCTATATTTGAAGTAAAACTTGTAAACACATGTTTAAAGCCGAGTTCGGCAACCCATTAGTTGGCTTTTTATTATATCTCTTGTAACTTTTGAACGGTTTGTCCGATTTGAATGAAATATTCGGCGAATTTGTGCTAAATTAAATTGTCTATAATATTGTCCAACAGTAATCCTCATTGAGATACATGGAATTGCCTTTAAATTTAAAATTATTTGAAAGCATTTGAAAGTACAGAACGCTATAGGTTTTTTTAGTCCGTAATTGGTAGATTTGGATAGTGCCCGTTGAGACCTTTCATTTGATACCCAACATCCCTATATTTGAAGTAAAACTTGTAAACACATGTTTAAAGCCGAGTTCGGCAACCCATTAGTTGGCTTTTTATTATATCTCTTGTAACTTTTGAACGGTTTGTCCGATTTGAATGGAATATTCGGCGAATTTGTGCTAAATTAAATTGTCTATGATATTATACAACCGTAATCCATAACAAGATACATGAAATTGCCTTTGAATTTTTGAAATAACTTCAGGCGTTTTTGAGCAAACGTCTAAGAAAGGTCAAAACTCTACTCACATCACACATTCTTTTCCCAAATTTGGTCCCATTCGATTCAGAATGGCTTAAAACATCGAGTAAACATAAAATTACCGAATCGAAACATAAAATTACCGAATTATTAAACTGAATCTGTTTATTCACTTACCAGTAGATATTTGGACATAGTCCAAAGTGCAGTCATCACTCTGCTCCAAATCTAAATCAAAAAAGTCGAAGGCAACATGAAAGCTTTCTGGTGCTGAAAATATCCATTCGCAGTTCAGCATTGCATCATAACCATTGGGAAATCCTGGTGATGTTAGATTTTGTATAACTCCTGGTGTCAATTCAAGGACTTTACCTTTGGAACCACAACCAGTAACTGCAAAACAAATATAATGGATATATGCTGTGGGTAAAGGATATATGTGGTCGGTAAGTTTCTACTTACTGTTGGATGCAAGTTCAGTGGCATCAGGAATAACTCTTTTAGTTTGCGTCCAATCGATCAAAAATCTTGATCCTAAACGATACCAATCGTTCTTCAATTCTAAATAAACCACATTACTGGTACTTTGGACAGGGTCAGGAGCACGAGCACCACAGGCGTTCACCAATTCAGGAGCGTTGTCGTCGTAACCATCAAAGATCTAAAACATAAATAATTATAATACAAATATAATAAATCTAATACAAATATAATAAATATAATAAATCGTGGTTCAGTATTATCTCAGACAAACAAAATATTAAGCTCGGTGTCCCTCAGAGCTCAATTCTCGGACCATTATTATTTCTCATCTACATAAACGATCTGCCAAAATGTACAGATCTCTGTAAATTTATTCTTTTTGCCGACGACACTAGTGTGATTATAAAAACCAATTCTTTAGAAGAAGTAAATAATAAATTAAATCTAGTTATGAAGTCAATTTCGAATTGGTTCAATTCTAATAATCTTTTGCTCAATAATGACAAAACCCAAATTATGTCTTTCCGAACAGTAAATAGGATAAGTCATGAGATCAATTCTTTAACTATCAATAGCATTAAATTTGAATTTTCCTCAGTCTCAAAATTTCTAGGCATCCAATTACACAAAAACTTAAACTGGGACAATCATATTCATTCCATACTTGTACCTAAGTTAACTAAAACCAGTTTCATGTTGAGAATTCTTAAATCAAAAGTTAGTTTAAATTGCCTTCTTTCAATTTATTATTCTAATTTCTATTCGCATCTCGCTTATGGAATACAATTCTGAGGATTCTCATCGTCCTTAAAGGATATATTCAAAATACAGAAAAGAGCATTAAGAATAATTTTTTCCCTCAGTTCCTTGTCCTCATGTAGGAATCTTTTCCGACAATTTAACATTCTCACTGTTCCCTGTATATTTTTACTAATTACGTTGTCATTCATAAAGAATAATCCCGAACGCTTCAACCTATCCTCCATGTTGAATTCCTATTATAAAACAAGAAATTTGACTATAAAAGGACCAACTTTTAAACTGAAAACATCTTTTAATACCATAGACGGAAGAGGAGTACAGCTATTTAATCTACTCCCACTACATATTAGGAAACTGAATGATCGTCAATTTCATAATACTATTGTTAAACTTTTAAAAGCTGAAAGTTTCTACGATACTTCTGAGTTTGCCAATTTCGATATCAAACGTTATTTTGATAATGAAATGCCTACTGATAATAATTGATATTTTTTTCCAACAGTTACAATTTTTTTCCCTTTTCGATACTTTTTCTAATTTTTATTCTAAATTATTTCAACATTTTCCTACATAAAATACTTAAATTTTATCATTGCAATTATTTTCATATTATATATTCTTTTTTGATACTGCTCTTAATTTTTATTTTCCAGATATGTGACTCAAATAAAAATTGCATAACGGATATTTAAAGGACTTTTTTTACCATCAGAAGACTCTCAAGATCTACAACAATTATATTATTTGAATTTTATTACTTTTTTTTCCTTCAAGTTATTGTATTAGATATTACTAATGTTAGGCTTAATATTGTTTAATAGTTGTATTTTACTGTAATTAATTCAATTAAGATAATTTATTTTCTGTAATTATTAAATCTATTCCTGTATCCGTAAATAAATAAATAAATATTATAAATATTATAAATATAAATATTATAAATATAAATATTATAAATATTATAATATCTTATTGGTTCATACAATAAGTAGTAATGGTACCTTTAAATAAAGATGACACTCAGAATCACTATATCCGTCTATGTAGAAGTCTCGGAATGACATGGATATCACATGTTGAGAATCGACCATTATTCTCCAATGGTAGGTACCAGTTAGGATGAATTCATTTGGATACATTGGTGATGCTATTTGTCCCGATGTGTTTCCGACGATTTCGTTACCATGGACTAAAAGAAAGGTAATTGATTGATGAATAGTGTATATAAATTGTTTCCACGATTATCTTACCATAAGTGAAATGTGCCATGAAGCCTTTAGAAGTACCATCTTCGCCAGATCTGAATTTTATCCACAAGGGTTCGCTGGAGACAACTCTGTATTCATCTGTACGTTCTCCACAAAGGGTTTCTGGAATCAATTTTTACATTTTTCAAGTTAAAGATCAAGCAATCAGAAAATTCAGTTTATAATTTCAATCTTACCCACAAGTTCTCCAACGCCATCATTTTTCCTGATCTCCAAAAAGTCATTATTACAAAAATCGTCCTCTTTCTGAATATCCATAACTTCGATAACAACGTCGATTTTGTTGCCAGGACTTGTGGGTAAAATCCAAACGCATTCTGCATTATTCGGGTACGATCCTGGATAATTTGGTGATGTAAAAGTGCCTTCTGCAGCCAACAAAGTTCCGCCACAGGCTGAAATAGGAATAGAAATAGGAATTGAAATTTACCAGGCAAAATAGCGTTATCTTATGCTTGTTTCTTGTTAGTGAAACTGTGAATATTTCTACAAAACTACTACAAAACAAGATTCTACAAATAAAAGAACAAATTAAAGTAACAGTAGGGACTCTACTAACGAGCAAATTGAAATAAAAAAGGAAATAATTCTACTGACAAATCACTTAAAGTAAAAGAAGAAAAGACACTACTGACAAGCAAATTAAAATAAAACAAGACTCTACTCACGAGCAAATTAATTTAAATAGAAGGACTCTACTGACGAGCAAATTATAATAAAAGGACTCTACTGACGAGCAAATTGAAATAAAAGAAGAAAGGACTCTACTAACGAGCAAATTAAAATAAATAAAAGAAGAACTCTACTCACGAGCAAATTAAAGTAAAAGAGGAAATAATTCTACTGACGAATCACTTAAAGTAAAAGAAGAAAGGACTCTACTGACAAGCAGATTAAAATAAAAAAGGATTTTACTGACAAGCAAATTGAAATAAAAAAGGACTCTACTGACAAGCAAATGAAAATGAAAAAAGGACTCTACTGACAAGCAAATTAAAATGAAAAAGGACTCCACTAGCGAGCAAATTAAAATAAAAGGAGGACTCTACTGACGAGCAAATTTAAATAAACAAAGGAAGGATTCTACTGACGAGCAACGTGGTATAAAATAAAAAAGAACTCTACTAACTAGCAAATTAAAATAAAATATGGACCTTACTGACGAGCAAATTAAAAAGAAAAAAAGGACTCTACTGACGAGCAAATTAAAATAAAAAAAAAGAAAGGACTCTACCGACGAGCAACTTAAAATCAGTAGAGTTCTTTTTTATTTTATTTCACTAAGACTTTGCTACTAACGAGCAAATTAAAGTGGAAGAAAAAAGAACTCTACTGAAAAAATATCAAAGAACAAAATTTAAAACATCAAAATAAATAATAAGAGAACAAAATTCAAAAGAATGAATATTATGATTGTATGAACAAAATTCAGAACAAGAAATAAATAAAAAACAAATTTAAAAAAATTGCAAAGCATATCAAGAAATAAAATATTATTAAAACAAAACCAGTAGAACACAAAATTTTAAAGAAAAAATCTTATGATAATTGCACCATGTGGAATTCTGTTCTCATAACATTCTTCCTTGCTTGTTTGCATGTAAAATACGCCTGATCGCACGGCAACTAAATAGATATTTTTACACATTAAGTTTATTACTTTACCTGTATCCAAAACTGAATACGTCAACGAGAACGTCCTATAAATTGGAAAATATCCTTCGGTTCCCTTAACAATAGTCAAAGCATTACCCTGGCTGGTGATACTTGGTGGAATTTTATTTCCACAATAGTGTCCGAGCAAAGGACCTTCAATAGAATCACCTTCAAACACCTAAACAAGATAAAAAATTAAAATCAGATATATATATATATATATATATATATATATTGAATTGAATAAAGACGACGGCTGACTGTGCTTGTGCTATCTTTGTTAGAAACAAATAATTATGTGTTTTATACATTTTTACATTTACCTTTTTCGGTTCTTTCTTAAATTATTTTTGTTTTCTTACAGTAGTAGAATGATTGTGTGTTTTTTCCTGATCTGCTGAATGATGAAACACATCTAGTCTCAAAACGTATAAAAAAATTAAAATGGACTATCTACATTGGACGCATTGGCTGTTTTATTTAATTCAATATGTTTCCATGTCGAACAAAAAATCCTCAAGATATATATATATATATATATATATATATATATATATATTTCATAAGACTTTTTATTACCTTGAAGTAGTTCTCCGTGCAATTTCCATCATCAGTTTCAAAGTAATTCATAACTCTAAAATTAGTTATGATGACTGTAACTTTTTGGGCTGGATCAGCAGCCTGGATTATCCAGGTGCAATTATTGCCTATATTAGAGAGTTGTGCCAATGGTTCTAATACGCCTGAACTGTTGGTTACTATTCTTGCACCACAAGCCTAAATAAAAAATAAAAATAATTTTTCGTTACTGAGGGAGATGCAAGATATTGCGTTGTGGGGAAAAGAGATAGAGCTATACGTTTCGGCGTTGGAGCGAAGAGAGCGACTATATAGTTCGGTGTGAAAGGATAGAGTAAGGTATATATTTGAATTTAATGTGATATTAATTTTGAACTAGTAGTGTGTGGCATCGTGTGTTAAGACAATTTGCTGGAACTTCCCGTACGCGATGAAATATTCAAGAAATATTAAACGTTTTCAAATATATTATTACAAATGCTGTAACTTTCATTATTTTTAAATGTGAATCATAAATCAATCAATTTATCTCCAGAACATTAATAATCGTCATTTCATTTCGAATTCAATTTCAAAAAAAAAAAATAGTTGCCTAATTTACACAAAATTGAAAAAGTGCTCCGATATAGTCACAGTTTAAACACATTTGCAAATAATTCCGTGCGACACTTTCACTTATACTGTGCTTAGCTTGGCGGCATTTTCACATTTTTAAATAGTTTTCACAAAATTGAAAAATTTCTCTAGTACAAAAACTGTCTAAACGCACTTGGGTAAACATTTGTACCAGGGTGGCGCTTAGACTGTGCTTAGCCTGGGTAATTTTTTAAGTTTTTAATCCAAAATTATAAAAATATTTTATGGAAAATAAAAAAATATGAAATAATTTTTTATCCTCAAAAGCAATTGTTTTGTCAATACAAGCAGAAAGTCAGTAAAGTCCCTTGTTCTTTTTTTAAATCGAAATTTAATTTGCTCATTAAGAGTCCTCTTTGGTTTTGGTCGACATACAGTTTGCTCGTCAGTAGAGTTCTTTTTTAATTTTTTCATCTTTACTAGACCTTCTTTTCCACCTACTAGGCTGATAATAATTTGCTTGTCAGTAGAGTCCCTTTTTTAGTTTGAAATTTAATTTAGTAGTCAGTAGAGTCCTCTTGTTTTGGTCGACAAGCAATTTGCTCGTCAGTAAAGTCCTTTTTTACTATCTCATTTTTATTGGACTCACTTTTCCTTCTTTCATATTTATAATAATTTGTTCGTCAGTAGAGTCCCTTGTTAATTTTTTGGATCGAAATACAGTTTGCTTTTCAGTACAGTCCTTTTTTTCTTTACTGAACATTCATTTTCATCTTGTTTTTAATAATTTGCTTGTCAGTAGAGTCTCTTTCTAGTATTTTTTAGATTAAAATTTAATTTGCTCGTTAGTAGAGTCCCTTTTATTTTTTCATCTGCAAATTAAAAATTCAAAAAATTACCCAGGCTAAGCACAGTCTAAGCGCCACTCTGGTACAAATGTTTACCCAAGTGCGTTTAGACTGTTTGTGTACTGGAGCATTATTCGAATTTTGTGAAAAACTATTGAAAAATGTGAAAATGCCGCCAAGCTAAGCACAGTATAAGTGAAAATGTCGCATAGAATTATTTGCAAATGCGTTTAGACTGTGATTATACGGGAGCACTTTTTCAATTTTGAGTAAATTAGGCAACATTTTTTTTTTTAAATTGAATTCGAAATGAAATGACGATTGTTAATGTTCTGGAGATAAATTGATTTATGATTTACATTTGATTTGCTCAGATATAACAAAGATAGCAAAAATAATGGAAGTTACAGTATTTGTAATAATGTATTTGAAGACGTTTAAAATTTCTCGAATATTTCATTACGGTACGGGAAGTTCGAGCAATTTGCCTTAAGGCACGATTTTTTTTTCGATTTTGGTTTATTAATCTATTGTTTTTTCTACTTACCGTTGAAAAATTTGCCTTGAATCCCTTAGCAGTATATATTTGATCACTCTTAAAATGCACCAGCAAAGTGTTACCACTTGCTTTGTAAGCGGTAGGACTTGGCATGGTATTACCACAATGGTTCATCAGTAATTTATCTGGATTTTCTTCTTCGCCATCATAAATCTGAAAATAATAAATAAAAAGCAATCAGTCTTGCATCAATTATTATTTATTTATTTATTTTAAATACATAGCCCACAGATTTCTTCCAAGAGGACTCAAAAATACAATTATTTTACATAATGAATAACAATTAAAATATATACAAAATTACAATATATAGTTATTAACATAAAATGCTTAACTGAAAATTACATATAATGCAGAATGTAACAATATTATTTATATACAGAATAAGATAAAATAATGAGATATTTGAAAAGAAAATAAAAAGGTTAACTTGTGCAGATGGAGATTATTTGATTAGGTGAAGTGTTGTGAATATCTATTCCATTATTAATTAAGTTAAAGTTAGAGGACATAAGTAAAATTGGCGAATTTAAGAAAGAATTAGATTTAGGAGTAGGGTAATTTAAAAATAATTGTGAACGCAATTATGCAATTTTTTTATGTTCTTACCTTAACAAAATCAGAAGTACAGTTCATGTACGATTCCAAATCAAAATCTAAGAAATTGATGGCTGCTACATGACTAGGATGCACTTCAATTATCCATTTGCAGTCTTCATTTGTTGCATAATTTTTAGGGTAGTTTGGCGAATATAAAAATCCATCGTGGCCAACCAGTCTGCCACCACAACCTGGTAGGTAATTGAAACATAAAATATAAATAAAAAGTTCACACGCGATTGAAGTAAAACTTATTTGCTACTGTACAAGATGGCATTTAAGTCAAAAATAAATACATCATATAACAATTTTAAATAATGTTTATTAGTAATATGGTAACACTCGTGTGATGCACACATTTATTAGTGTCGTCAATCATTATACACATTTATATAATGATAAATTATAAATTATATGTTTATACTAGCATTCAAAATATGTATAATATTTAAAAAGAATAATGTAATTTAAGTGATACTTCAAATGCGACATGATCGGTTTGTCATTGTAATTAGCATTTAGAAATGAACCTTTATTAGAAAAATGAAGTAATTGCTGATTAATAACTTCTATAATAGTGGATTATGTTAAGCAACGCCTAAACAAATATTATTTACTGATGATGTAATAATTGTGTTTGAAGATCTTCATGTAATTAAAATTAGCATACATTCATTGACTGCTTGTATTTTTTTAACTTTTTCGCTGGCGATATAATCTCATTCTTTGAACAACTGTAATATCTGTCTTGCCTAAAAAATATTTTCTATTTTAATAACTTCAAAGATTTATAGAAACTACAAGTTCATTTTTGATTTTATTTTTAGTTTTGCTCGTCAGTAGAGTCCCTTTTTAATGTTATTTTTAGATTGCTCGTCAGTAGAGTCCATTTTTCTTTAATTTTTAATTTAATCATCAGTAGAGTCTCTTTGAATTTTTATTTTTATTTTGCTCGTCAGTAGAGTCCCATTTTCTTCCATTTTTAATTCAATTATCAGTAGAGTTTATTTTTCTTTTATTTTTAGTTTTGTTCGTCAGTAGAGTCCCTTTCCAATGTTATTTTTAGATTGCTCGCCAGTAGAGTCTCTTTGAATTTTATTTTTATTTTGCTCGTCAGTAGAGTCTGCCTCTCTTTTTCATTTTCAGTTTGGTCGTTAGTAGAGTCCCTTTTTATTTACGAATAATATAGATATAATTTCTAATTAATTTTTTATTAAATCAAGATTAATTAAACTACGTTACTTTTTTATTTTTCATCTTGTAGTATAGTAGTATAGCAAATAAATTTTACTTCAATCGCGTGTGAACCTTACGCGCACTTTTTTTTTAAATTAAGGATTTACTTAAGAATGTCTTATTTTATTTTAATTATATCAATTTTTGATAATGTGTCACAATAAATAGCTTAAAATAATAAATATTGTCCGAGTAATAGACATGAGAGACAGTCGCAAGATGAAACAATAGTGCAACTTGCCTCAAGGCAAATCCCGAACACGAATTTGCATGTGACATATCATTTGAAAGAACTCAAAGAGCAGAACACGAATTTAGTAATTGTTTTTGATTTTATATCATTGTGTAATTAAATTCTTTGGAAATTCATATTGACTGAAGGTGCAACTTGCCGCAAGGCAAATCCCGAACACTAATTTGCGTGTGACTAATAATATTCAGTATGTGACATATCATTTGAAAAGGCTCGAAGAACAGAATCCGAATTTAGTATTTGTTTTTGATTTTATATCATTATTTAACTTAATTCCTTTAAATTTCGCATTAACCAAAAGTGCAACTTGCCTCAAGGCAAATCCCGAACACTAATTTGCATGTGACATATCATTTGAAAGGTCTTAAAAAGCCGAATACGAATTCAGCATTTGCATTAATTTTATACCATCATGTAACTTAACCCTTTCCACTGAGATACCGCCGCTGCGGGGGCAAAATACATATACATTTTGCAATTCGCGAGTGAAACGGGTTAATTCTCTTTGTTTGATATCATCACTATTACTATTACTCACGTCCTGGTACAGTTTTGTACGAAGCCTTAAAACCTTTCCCACTGAACGAACTATCAGCAAAAAATCTCACCAGCAAGTAGTTACCATTGGACCTGGTAGCTGCAGAAGTAGTGTTACCTTTGAAGGAATGGCATATTGACATAAGTTGGGAGGAATTTACTGTTTTACCATCGTAGACCTAAAAGGTAACAGATACATTAGTTATTAAGGTATTCAATTTCAAAAAAAAATAGTTGTCAAAATTTACACAAAATTGTGTAAAAAGTGCTCCCGCATAGTCACAGTCTAAACGCATTTGCAAATAATTCTGTGCGACATTTTCACTTATACCGTGCTTAGCTTAGCGGCATTTTCACATTTTTCAATAGTTTTCACAGAATTGGAAAAGTGCTCCAGCACATAAACAGTCTAAACGCACTTGGGTAAACATTTGTACCAGAGTGGCGCCTAGACTGTGCTTAGCCTGGTTAATTTTTTGAATTTTTTTTTTGTATTTAGTATTTTTCATCATCAACTGTATTTTACCAGACATGAAAATAAAAAGAAATCTATTGACAAGCAAACTATATTTTGCATTATATGAACTGAAGAGCAAACTGAAATACTCGTCTGCTCGTCAGTAAAGTCCCCTTTTAAATATTTTAACTTTTGCTCGCCAGTAGGGTCCTTTTATTAATTCTAGATTAAGTTTGCTCGTCAGTAGAGTCCCTTTTTCGTTTCTAAATTTGTTTGCTCGTCAGTAGAGTCCCTTTTTTAATACTAGATTAGTTTGCTCGTCAGTAGAGTCCCTTTTTTAATACTAGATTAGTTTGCTCGTCAGTAGAGTTCGTTTTTTAATTCTAGATTAGTTTGCTCGTCAGTAGAATACCTTTTTAATTCTAGATTAAGTTTGCTCGTCAGTAGAGTCCCATTTTTATTTCTAGATTAGTTTGCTCGTCAGTAGAGTCCTTTTTTAACACTAAAAATGCGGACATATAAAGCACACACACACGCTTACACACACATACACGCACACATCCATTTAGTTTCTGAGATATGCCCCTTAAAAGTGTTCAGAAATCTTCAAAACGTCGAGAAATGCAAAAATTTTCATTTTTGATTTTCGGCCCATTACTATAAACTACCCTACGGAAAGTTAAAAAAAATAGTGGCCTAATTTGCACAAAATTGAAAAAGTGCTCCCGTACAGTCACAGTCTAAACGCATTTGCAAATAATTGTGTGCGACATTTTCACTTGTACTGTGCTTAGCTTGGCGGCATTTTCACATTTTTCAATAGTTTTCTCACAAAATTGTAAAAGTGCTCCAGTTCACAAAAACAGTCTAAACGCACTTGGGTAAACATTTGTACCAGAGTGGCGCTTAGACTGTGCTTAGAGCCTGGGTAATTTTTTTAATTTTTATTCCAAAATATTTTAAATTTAAACAAAAATATTATATGGAAAATAAAAAAAATTAAATGGACTCTACTGACGAGCAAATTAAAATGTTGACAGAAAAAGGGACTTTACTGATGTCAATACAAATAGAGACTTTACTGACGAGAATATTAAAAAAAGGGTCTTTACTAACAAGCAAATTAAAGTGTCAATAAAATAAAGGAACTTCACTGATGAGCAAATTTAAAATGTCATTCCAAAAAGGGATTCTACCGACGAGTATTTTAGAAAAGGAATCCAAAATCACAAAAATATTTTATGAAAAATAAAAAAAGATGTTAGAATTTTAATATACATTGAAATATACAAAAGTTTTAACTTACAGTGATTCCATCAAAGGCACAATTGGACGATGCTTCCATATCGACATCCTCCATTTGAAAATGTATGCTTTGTCCAAAATCAGTTTTGATAAGCCATTCGCAAACAACGTTGTGTGGATATTCGTGTGGGTAATTTGGTGATTGAATAGTGCCTTCGGGTTTGGTTAAAATGCCTCCACAACCTGCAAAAGATCAGAGGTTGATACTAATGTGGGTGTAAGTTTTGGTGTGATGTACTTTACCATGGACAACCCATTCCAGACGGAATCCTGAAGATGCCAAAAGAGAATCTGACTTGAATTTAATGAACAGATTAGAAGATAAACTGGTGATTTTAGGTGGTAACTCGCTTCCACAATATCTGCCTCGAAGGGTTTGAGGTGAGTCGTGCTCTTCTCCAGCATCTTTTATCTTGCAAAAAAAAATTATCAACACTAATTTGCATGTGATATATCATTTGAAAGGGCTTGAAGAGCAAGAGAATACAGATTTAGTATTTGTTGCTAATTTTATATCACTATGTAATATAATTATGGTTCAATTTCGTATTAATTAAAAGTGCAACTTGCCTTAAGGCAAATCCCAAACACTAACTTGCATGTGATATATCATTTGAAAAAGCTCGACGAGGAGAATACAAGTTTTGTACTTGTTTTTGATTTTATATCATCGTGCACCACAATTCTTTTGAAATTCATATTAACCAAAAGTGCAACTTGCCTTAAGGCAAATCTCGAACACCAATTTGCATGTGACATATCATTTGAAAGGGCTCGAAAAGCAGAACACGAATTTAATAATTGTTTTTAATTTAATTATGTCGTGTAATAAAATTATCTTGAAATTCGTATTAACCTAAAGTGCAACTTGCCTCAAGGCAAATCCCGAACACTAATTTGCATGTGACATATCATTTGGAAGGGCTCGAAGAGCAAAATGCGAATTTAGTATTTATTATTGAAATTATATCGTCATTTAACTTAAATCCCTTGAAATTCATATTAACCAAAAGTGCAACTTGCCTCAAGGCAAATCCCAAACACTAATTTGCATGTGATATATCATTTGAAAGGGCTCGAAGAACAGAACACGAATTTAGTATTTATTCTTAATTTTATCTTATCATATTACATAATTGTAATCAAATTTGTATTAATCAAAAGTGCAACTTGCCTTAAGGGAAATCCCGAACACTAATTTGCATGTGATATATCATTTGAAAGGACTCGACGAGGAGAATACGAATTTAGTAATTGTTTTTAATTTAATTTTGTCGTGTAATAAAATTCTCTTGAAATTTGCATTAACCAAAAGTGCAACTTGCCTCAAGGCAAATCTCGAACACCAATTTGCATGTGACATATCATTTAAAAGAACTCAAAGAGAAGAATGAATGATTTTACCAATATCCAATATTGGAAAATAGTAATCATCTTCTACTTACCTCCAAATAATCATAATTGCACGTCGAATCTATATTCCTAGAATAACTTGGCGAATCCTCCAAATCAAAATGCGAAAATGTGACATTTATTTTATTGCCAATGGGTGCATTTATATGCCAAGTGCAATCCTGATCTGGTGGGTAATTCGATGGAAAGTTGGCACTTTCAATCACACCACGATATCCAGTCAATACATTATTGCACACTAAAACAACCAAACTATTAGGTTTATAATTGGATTTTATCATAAGTCTATTATTACCTGAGCTATAAGTCAACATAAATCCACGTCCTTCGGTGCTAG